AACAAAAGGAAAAATGGACTCATCAAACGAAAGATCTCGCGTGTGGAAAAATTGGTGTGTTTCGAGATTGTAAACTCGCCAGCCTTTGGTACCATAAGGGTATCCAACAAACATACATTTGACACTCCTTGGAAAAAATTTGTTTTTGGGTTTGGGAATAGGATGAACAAAACAGAGACACCCAAAGACACGAAGATGATTGAGATCCTGAGGCTTGGAAGAAAGGATTTCAAGAGGAGACTTACCCCCAAGAATTTTCGTGGGAGTATGATTAATTAAATAAACTGCTGTTTTGACACACTCCCCCCAAAACTCAAGTGGAAGAGACGCTTGAAACATGAGTGAATGAGCAACATTTAATATGTGACGATGTTTACGCTCTACCCGTCCATTCTGCTGAGGAGTACCAACACACGATGTTTGTATGCACACACCCAGACTATCATAATATTGACGCAAAGAGGAATTCAAAAACTCTGTACCATTGTCAGAACGGACTATTTTAATAGTTTTAGAGTATTGGGTGTGGATCATCGTAAAAAAACGCTTTAAACAGGAAGTGACTTCACTTTTAGATTTAATGAGATAAACCCAAACAGCCCGGGAAAAATCATCAACAATAGTCAGAAAATAATGAGCCCCAGAAGATATGCAAGGTGAATAAGGTCCCCACAGATCACAATGAATTAAATCGAAAATAGCATCAACTTTATTATCACTAGAAGGAAATGGTGAACGAGTTTGTTTAGATAAGAAACAAATTTCACAAGTCTGTAATTTTTTGACAATAGATTGTGTTTTATTAGTACCTAAGAAAGGAAGTACATCCACGGATGGATGTCCTAACCGTTTATGAAGAACAAGAGGATCGATATTTGCTACGAGGGCTGACGCTGGAGAGGAAGCAAAGACATACACGCCGTTTCGCAAATCACCCTGTCCAATCACAATCTTCGACAAATGGTCCTGTATTACACAACGATGATCATTAAAGTTACACAACAAGTATTGTCACGAATTAAACAAGCAACAGAAATCAAGTGGCACTGTAAGTTTGGTACATATAACACATTACGTAATACCAAACTAGATGATAAATGCACACTCCCTTGTTTGACAGCTTGAACACGAGACCCATCAGGGAGACATATGGGTTTAGAAGAAACATCCTCAATATTAGATAAATGAAACATGGTTCCTGTCATATGATGGGAAGCACTACTATCAATCAACCACTCACAAGAATGAAAAGGCATACCACCATATTGATTATCACGAACTGTATTAGACGACATGGCATATGTGGAAGCAAATATGGGTGAAAGTTGCTAATTTGGAATTGAGAACCTCCCCCCTGTACGGCTAAATGGTGGCTGAAATGATGATAAAAATTATGCCTTCTTGAAATTATCCCTTAAG